ACAAGGTTGGTTCAAACACATGAGTCATCTGGAGACCATTGAGGTTGTACCGAGAGTGCTGTGACCTAATCTTACTTTAATTGCATCATATATTATTCATTTGATTATAGTCAATGACTCACCTGTACAGCATTAAGGGGATAACTAATGGAACGTGGTGTGGGCTGAGCCACTCGCAGAGTCTTGTGTTTCTTGAGACGGTCAGCCAGCAGACTGTAGATGGCACTGTAGTGATCGTATGCATCTGTTTGTAGAGACTGCAGTGAAGGAAAAAAGGAGAAGAGTTGTCAGAGTTGACAGAAAAGATAAGGCTGCAATTGTTTATTAGAGAGTAATAAAATGTTTTTTGTCCAACCTGAATTGTGGATTCTCTGTCTAGGCCCATCTCAGACATGGCCAACAGCACCTGATCGTTGATGAGCTCTGTTTCTCTCTCTGTCTTCACTTGTACACACTCTGCTATCAACTGTGAAAGGACAGAAAAGGCTTAAAGGTTTAATATTTTTTTCCATGATCACAACATATGAGGAAATACAAAAACAGTGAATTGTGGGACCGTGTAAAAAAGTCTTTGTGAAATAAATTCATGCGTATAATGTGAAGACGTTACCCTATCGAAGTCTGGGTCAGGGTCTCCTTGTCTCATCCACTTGTTCTTACAGATCTGCTCCATAGTCAACCTTCGACTGGGCTCCAGCACCAACATGTGTCTGATCAAGTACTCACAGTCTGCAGCATTAGAAAGAAATGTGTTCTCATTTAATGTTCCCACATTTTCACAGGAAATAGAATAAAAGGTGTTTTTGAGGCATTCTGACTCCAAAGGGGATTTGGTCAAATCTTCTCTGAACAATTTTGAGCCAATTATGGTTTGCCCTCTTTTTTTTAATATGGACTCTTCTTTTCTGATCTTGTTCAGTTATCAAACAACTCTTTAATCTGATAATTTGAGGAAGAATAGAGGTTGGTTTAACTTCTTAACAGCAAAACTGTTTGTAACCTACAACAAACGCACCTGTTGACATGAAGAAAGGAATACGGAATTTGCCGCTGAGGACACGAGCCCGCAAATTTTGTAGCGTGCTGCCATCAAAAGGCAGGGCGCCACACACCAACACATACAACACCACACCTAAGCTCTGTTAGAAAGAGAGAGAAAACAATGAATTGATAATATATTCCAGTTTGTATATTCAGCTATGTTTTAATATATTCAAGATTTTACGGTACTGAAAAAAAATGGGCTCAAATTCAGACTACCCACCCATATATCTACTTTGGGACCATCGTACTCCTTCCCCTCAAAAAGCTCTGGTGCAGCATATGGCGGACTGCCGCACCATGTCTTCAATAGCTGGCCTCGGGAAAACAGGTTACTGAAGCCAAAATCTGAGGGTGAGAGAGAAACATTTTTTTTCTTTCTCTTTTTAGCATCAACAAAAAACAAACAACTAAATTCTAGGAAACAAATAACACAAACCTGCAATTTTGATGTTGAGATTATGATCCAGGAGCAGGTTTTCAGCCTTCAGGTCTCGATGGACAATGTTGCGGCAGTGACAGAAGTGGACCGCTGCAACAATCTGTTTGAACTTTTTTCTGGCATCCTTTTCTGCCATACGTCCGTGAGCCACCAGGTGGTCTAAACAGATGGAGACGCACACACACGGATTGCATAGGTCAGCTGTTCTTGAGGTGTAACCTTCTGCTTATCACTTCATTTTAATACATCATTGCTTAAATGAAGCCTTTACTGCATAAGGTTTAGCATAACAAAAGAATGGAGCGCCACCACTTGAATTAGTAAATCAATTTCAAAGGGATAAAACTATGGCAAAAATGCATTAAAACATGCCAGGTCATTTTAAATGTGAGAGAATGAGAAAAAAAACAAAACACTGATACTTCCACCAGGCTTCACATAACCCACTGACTCACAGCACGTGTGAGTCTGTGTGAATCTGGTGTGTGAGAAAGACACTTCACCCACGAGAGAGAAGGTGGTGGACAAAGAGATTATAGGAAAGAAAAGATGTTCAGCGAACACCAACAGCCTTTAAAAAGAGAGTTATCCTCAATAATAGCAGTGGAAAAACTAAGTTTGTTGATATTTATGGTTGAGTGATATTTAATCAGCAGCACTGAGGTGCAAGCTGCTAAATGAATGCAGGGTAAACTCTCCAGCGATAACAGCAGATCATTCCCATCGCCCACCACCATCCTTCACAGCAGCTGATGCCAACAGCAGTAGCACATGAACACTGATGTAACTGACGATTAGTAACACCCATGTCAAAAGGTGCATTTACGCCATAGGAGCTCGTAGAGGCTGACAGTGCCGTCAGTAACGAGGACAGAAGGTGTGTTTTAACTTGGGATGCAATTTTCTCATGTCTAATACTGGTACTGCAACCTGGAGTGTCTACAGATATTTGTATCTACTGGAAATATCTTATTCTCTCTTTAATTCCTAACCACATATGTACTTTGGATTAGGTAAACGGTGCTTAACATTAAGGCAGTGCAATGAATTAAATTAGTATTTCTATTGCAATAAAAATTGAATTGACAAGAATATCTGATTATTATAAAACCACAAAACAATCTGCAAGTATACTCTTATACTGTGTTGCATTCCGAATAATATGTGGAGCTTACGCCTAAACTCCTCTATTTACTGGAATGAAATATTTGGGTAAACACCAAGTCATTAACTAGAAGTAATTTGGAAGTTCCCTTAACTATGTTTACACAGCCTTTCAATATGTCCGAAAGGCCGGTGGTTGACTGCACAGAAAAACAAACACAACACAACAGCAAACAGAGCATCTCCACTATGGAAACAGAGGGAAACTCCTTACCAAATATCTCTCCACCACTGGCGTATTCTGTGACCAAGTAGATCATCCGCTCTGTCTCCATCACCTGAGTACAAAAAAAAAAAAAACAGCTTACCATGGAACATCCAGTGATGGGTGGTTCACCTGTTATGTAACGGAATGAGTAAGCACTGTTTGGAATAAAAATTAGATCTGAACAGAGCACAAACTGCCAGGCTGAGGTTCAGCTCATGTATATGATGGAAATGATAACATTTTTATGTTTTCTATTTACCTCTTATTGTTAACATTTTTTTTTAAATTGGTGCAAGCAAACTCATGTGGATTAAAACCCTGGGAGCTGCTTCAGAGGATTTAATAAATGTTTGGTGAGAATGAAAGCTTAACACTGGCTCAGGTTTGGACCACATTCAGCATAATTCCGGTCAAAAAGACGGAAAGCACAATTACAGAAAAACTTACAATACAATAAAAGGGGAAAGGAGAAGTGAAATTGAACACTCTCGTTTACGAAAACTAGTATCGTTTTACACATCAGCCTAAAATCCCTAAAATCAAAGAGGGAGTCAAGACACGGGTGTACGATCCTTGTACAGGGTTGGCTTTTTTGTGTGTGTGTGTGTACCTGGTAGAGGCGTATGATGTGGGGGTGCTTCAGTAACTTCATGATTTCCACTTCTCTGTAGATCTTTTTTAGGTTCTCATCATCCAGCTGAGTCTTATCCACTATTTTTATAGCCACCTGGAGACAAAGACAAGAAAGGATTGAAGAAGCGATCACAATGAATTATGAGAGCGTGTAAAGTGGTGAAGAGAATGTAAAGTAATAGTGGTGGTGGTGCTGCTGGTGGTGGTGGGCATATACAGAAACCAAGGGAGAGCATAAAAATAATTTATCTTTAAACTTGTTAAGTGTTTACAAGCACTTGAGTCATTAAATACAAGCAATACATCCATGTTAATGGTCCTTAGGTGACACCTCAACTACAGGCGGTGAATCAAGGGCAAGAGCCCAGCACCAGCGCAATGTATATTGATGTGAGAACACAATGAGAGATGAAAATAATAAAAAAAGAAGCTCAATCATGCTTTTTGTGCTGCCCTGCAAGGTACATTCTGAAGTGACTTATATAACAAAAATATACCCAATGCCATATAAGGCCACCAGGGGGCACACTTGACAACTGAACACTGCCAAAAGCACTGGTAAAAAAAAAATTACAACCATAAAGACTTCCTTAATGGCATTAAAACGTTAAACCCTTTGCGCAAAAAAAAAAAAAAAAAAACTAAACTGAAGATTATAAACGATGCAGCAGTAAAGAAACTAACAAACCAAATGGAACTGGTGATTTGGTGAGTTTCATGACAGACCAGCAGAAGAGGAGACTGCACTTCTTCCTCCAGAGTTGGATTTTTTTTTTTTTTTTAGTAGTGACACCGAGGATGAATGGATTCAGTTATGCACAACTTGTTAGCCTGTTACATTACTATACTCAGCCCATGTTCTTAAAGCTGTTGTGTAGAAGTAAAGTCTTTACAGATTGAATGTTTGTTCCTGGATTCTTGTGAAATAAACTTACAGACTGGTGTGACATAAATTTTTCCCCCTTTATAAGGTGACTAAAACTGACAAATAATCCAAGCAAATACAGTATTTAAATTTACAAAAGCAACAAAAACCA